ACTTGCTGAATGTGATGTGGCACTACCAACTCAGGGTGGGATGCTACTACTATGCCTTGTCTCAAAATGCTACAGGGCAAACACATTCAATCTGACCTTCCATGCCCATTGGAGACAGAGGGCAATGGTACTTGCTGGGAAGGGCTGGAGATTGGAAGGCCAGGCGAGACCCAGAGCACCAGGGGATAGGGGAGAATCCCCTGAGAACCTATCCTGGGGAGGTCAGGGAGCTACACATGAGCTCCAAGCCTTTGGTGCATGCTCGATTATGCTATTGGACTCCTTTACGAACCACAAACACAAAGATAAAATTGCAAAGAATTTCAAGACAGTGATTACAGAGCACTAAACCTCAACCCGGCCCTTCTGAGCAAGAGTACCAGTGTGACTGTATTGGCAGCACACCCATGAAGCTGGACCTTCATATTTCCTAGCTTTGTGCATTGCTCTGGCCTAGAAGCAATGACATCCCAGTAGCAATAAGAATACCTTGAAACCAGATCTTGGTTTCTAATTCTGTAATAAAAGGAAACAATGTTTCTTGGGGAAATGGCTGATTCCTTGATTACTACAGGCAAAGTACAAAGTGAGGCTGGGACGTATTATGCCAGAAAACAAGAAAGCACCAAAAGACCAATGGGGTTGAGTCAAAAGGACATAGGAGCCAGATCAAAGGGGCACCCTCTGGCCAAATTTGGGATAATTGAGGATCAAGAAGAATAATGACTGTAATTACATATAATCATTGATTAAATTAAAATTATGAGTCCATCCTGATACTCAAATAAGAAAAACTCATTAGTGATTGGTGATGACTATTATACCAACACTTTATTCTGAAATTTGGTAATGAAGGAGCTCAGGAAATTTCACTCCAAAATGTGACTCCTTGCTATAAAGAATATTTTGAATTAAAGGCTCTTAGAGGCTGGGCGTGGTGGCTCACGCCTGTAATCCTGGCACTCTGGGAGGCAGAGGTGGGAGGATCACTCAAGGTCAGGAGTTTGAGACCAGCCTGAGGAAGAGAAAGACCCCATCTTTCCTAAAAAAAAAAAACAAAAAAAAAAAAATAGAAAGAAATTAGCTGGACAACTAAAAATATATAGAAAAATTAGCTGAGCATGGTGGTGGCACATGCCTGTCATCCCAGCTACTCAGGAGGCTGAGGCAGGAGGATCACTTGAGCCCAGGAGTTTGAGGCTGCTGTGAGCTAGGCTGACACCACAGCACTCTAGCCTGGGCAACAGAGCGAGATTCTGTCTCCAAAATAATAAATAAATAAATGAATAAATAAAAGGCTCTTAGAGATTAACAGGCCCTTGGAAGAGGCTTGCCCTCTATCTGCATGAATCATAAAAACAATGGACTTCTCCTCTCCCCATTATCTCAATATATTGCAGGAAAGAAGATCAAGAATTCAACTGGACTTGACCCAAATCTATTGAAACATAATACCTGTCTCTCAGGTTAATTTAGTTTGCTAAGAGAATCATTTACAAGTCAATCTGTTTCCCCAACCCATTTATCCTCCCTAGAACCATTTGTTCCTCGTAAACAGAATTGCCTGTACTGCTCATCTCCCTCTCCCCTCTAAAAGGCATGTATAAAAATATCTGGATTCCATTGGGATATTGAATAATCACTCTCTGATTCTCCCCATGTCCATGGTAAATAATTCTTTCTCTTATTAATCTGTCTTAATTGTGATTTGATCTTTCAGCAAACTTTCAAGGGAAAGGGGAAGTTCCCCTTACTCCTATAGTAACTAAGGAAAAATTTAAGCATTTACCTGACTTTTAAGAAAAAAATTTAGTTTGTTGCCATTTGATTTTTCTTTATGGAGGAATTGCAAATGAATTTATACAATGTCATCATTTTGCCATCTTCCCAGAAAAGAATCAATTCAGGAAAGGATCATCAATGACTGCTAAAACAATTGGGTGACAGATTGATGGAGGCAGCATCCGTATGTGGTGCCAAAGTATCACTCCTCAAGTTACTTTCTAATTACAAACGGAAAAACTTAGCTTACTTGTCATTACCTTAATCCAGTTATTACACTTAATATCACTTATATTGAGACAGACTTATGTGTCTCCTGAGGTGATGCAATATGAAATACACAACATAACCTATGTACTATTCTTGCCAAAAAAGTTTAACCTGAATCTAATCATGCCTCTAGACCTAACGTCCAGTTTATAGGTGTCTTAGTTTGCCAGGGCTACTGAAACAAAATACTACCAACTGAGTAGAATAAACAACAGAAACTTAATATCTCACAGTTCTGGAGGCTGGAAGTCTGAGATTAAGATGCCAGCAGGATTGGTTCCTTCTGACTGGTGTGAGGGAAGGAACTGTTCTAGACTTCTTGGAGGAGAGTGGCTCAGTGGCTGGAGACCCTGTGAATTAAACTGACAGAAGATAGATTTCCAAGAGAAAAAAACATTTAATTGTATACATACACATAGGAGTTCATAAAGAAATGTGACCCAAGGAGGCAGTTAGAATTGGGGGCCTATATACCATCCTAGGCTGGACAAAGGAAAAGGGGTTTGGGGCTTCTTGGAAGGTGGTAAGTTATGGGAAGGGGAGGGCAGGAAACGTATGATAAATAAGGCTTGTCTTGGTACGTAGGTAAAGAACATCTCCAGTGCTATGAGTCTTCTTAGTACAGGGAGAGGGAGACACCTTACAAATGGCATTTTATGTCCCACTTTTAGACAGAAATGGAGAGGGCAGAGAGCTAATTGCCTTCAGCTCAAAACAATCCTTATGCCACAGTAGTATAGGTGGGGGTGGCATATTCTGGTTCCCTTCACTTCTAGCTTCTGGTGGTCGACTGGCAATCTTTCATATTCCTTGATACGTAGAATTGTCACTCTGATCCCTGCCTTCATGTTCACAGGACATTCTCCCTGTGTGTGTGCATGGCTATATCCAAATTCCCCCTATTAATAAGGACACCAGTCATATTAGATTAGGGGCACGCCCTACTCTGGTATGACCTCAATTTAGCTAATTACATTTACAATGATCCTATTTTCAAATAATCTCACATTCTGAGGTATTGGGGGTTAGGAATTCAACATATGAATTTTAGGGGATGGACAATTCAACTCATAACAGGAAATCTAGTGAGAAGAGCACAACCACAAAGAATTAATGAGACAAATTCAGAATGTGTAACTTTCTACAAAGTCTCTTGAAAGAGGCAATGTAATTTTATAAAAGTAGAGGGACTATTCCAAAAAGACCAAAGAAACCAAAAGTAAGAGTTGTGATTGTATCCTGGTTTAAATAAGAAACTGCTATAAGACATGGTGCAAATTGAGGAGATTTGAATATGGACTGGGTATTCTGAGAGTGAAATGGTATTAGGGAATTATTGTTAATTTTCCTAGGGGTAATAATTTATAATAGTTATATAGGAGAATGAACTTACATTAAGAGATGTGGGCCGAAGTATTTGAAGTGTCATGATGTCTCCAATTTACTTTCAACCCTTTGCACTTGCTTGCTTTTTTCTCGATTTCTTTATTCTACTCAGGATTTAATTTTTTAAATACTCCAGATTTTACAAAGCATGGCAGTAGAATAATAAAAAACTGGAGTTTCTTTTCATACAAACTTATTTATTTGGATTTTTTATATTTCAAATTATTGATATATTCAAAGAGTAATTTTAATCTCTATAATTTTTGCTAACTGTGTTGAGTCACACTATACATCCGAGTGCAAAGGGTTAAATAGATCGGAAAAAAATGTATACATTCATGAAGCAAATCTGTATATATAGCTGTGTATATAAATAAAGCCAATATATCAGAAGGTCAACGTTTGTTGAATTTAAATATTGGGTATGTGGGGTATTCATTGTACTACTCTTTCAACTTTTCTGTATGTTTGAAATTTTCATAATAAAAAGTTAACAGAAAATGAAGAAAATTGTTTTTTTTAAAGAGAAGATTTTTCCTACCTTTCTATTGAAAATGGAGCAGCGCATGGAAAAAAAATACAACTGGCTTAAGGTGTAGATGAAAATTCAGTTAGTGAAAAAAAATTTTTGCTGTTAGGGGTATTAAACAGTTGGATTGGTTTCCAAACCATTCCTTCCCTATATTACTGTGAGTTGGAGGTTGGAGTACAAGGCCCTCCATCAGGAATAATTTGAAGGCTTCCAAAAGCCCTACTGACCTCTGAGTATCTCCCCTGCTAGCTTTCCATGTGGCCTGAAAGTTCTGTAACCTGGGTCAATTCTTAGGAATCAAGTATTTTCTCACTATGGGGGTGGGGGTATGCCCTCTTTTAAAATGCAAATCTGGAAGGGTGCCTGGGCCCATTAAGTGGGAACAATTGTGTGAGGAGCCACCACCTGCCCAAAGGCCGGAAATTCTGACAGCTCCTTCCTCAACCCCTTCTCACCACTGAGATTGGACAATATGCGCTCTCAGATATTGAATTTGGACAATGTGTGCGCTAAGAAACTTCTTAGGTGAAGATACCATTTCAAGTAAAGCTTATTTTCCATGAATGAAACAGGGTGCATGAGGTCATTGCTGTTTTTACTTTGTAAACTGGGTGGCCTCTGAAAGCCTCTTTAGAACACTTCAAAAAAAGCCTCCTCAAATCTTCCAGCCCCCTACCCCCTTCCCTTTGTTACTGAATTCTTACTGACCCCAAAGTTTTTCACTGAATGGAGAGTTTCCAAGGGGTCTAAAAAATACCTGACACAATTAGAGAACTGAAAACCAGGGGGTCAAGATGAATTGACCCTTGGTGAAGGATTTACATAAATAGGTCCTAACCTCTGGCTGTGAATAAAAGATAAAATGCCCCATTGGGGTCAGAACTGCAGTTCAAGGGCATTTGCAGGGCCAAGCCTGGCTTCTCTGCTATGTCAGGAATTCCAGGAATGCCACTGATCATTGTGTGTTGGGGGGGGGGGTTGCAGCTAGGCTAACAGAAACCCAGCCCTGCCCACTGGGTGAAACTGCAGCTCTCCCACACAGCAACCTGCAAGTCCAGAGCGTGGGAAACCAGCAAGTTGAGAGAGGACCCAGAAGTAATGCCTTCTAAAATGGGAAAGATCCCGTCTCCTGAAAGGTGACCAAGTTCTTGTTTTAGATGGTGGAGTTAACCTGGGAGGTTGGAGGGGAGGTGGGTAAGAGAATGAGCATGTCCCCTTTGAAAAGCCCCTTTGTTCCCTCTGTGGAGCACAGCTCTGTGAGAGATATTTGCTCTTTACCTATAGATCAGATGATCAGTACTGGCCTTCTCTAGACTGAAGGCCTGCACCATCTCCTTCTGCAGGCTGCTACCTAAGAGAGAAATCTTACAATGGTGTTAAAAGATAATTCCCAAAAAAGGTAAAATAATGACCCTCATACAGATATAAAGATGAACATGTGTTAAAAGACTTTATTTTACTCATATAACTGAGGGAACCAGGCAGATGTAATAGCTGGTTTGAAAAAGAAGCAGCCCAGATTTATATGGAGTGAAGGAATATAGGGATGAATTGCAAAGGGAGGCAAATTGTTTATTGCTTTTTCTTTCCCCACAGGGAAGGAGGAAGTCAATTGAACCGGACAGGAGAGGATTTGCATATCTATCTGTGACCTACAATTTAGAGTGGTAAATAGCTCCAGTAGAATCAGCATCAGAACGCCAGGAAGCACATGCTATAGGCAGTAAAGAGTTTTCCATTGAAGTATAAATTTTCTCTACAGGGGCAAGAAATGATGCTTTTTAAATATTGCCTTAAGAGAAGTGTGCCCTCTATCCTCCTACATCTCACCTCCCCCAACATACACATACTTTTGTAAGCAAAGAGGAGGGCTTGAGAATCTTGGGTCAAAGTTGACTCCCAAATTTCCACTATGTTCTACCTTACTTTTTTCCCTGCCACACAAAAATGCATACAATCTTCTTGGGTTGTTCCTTGGTGATTTGAGAAGGATTAAAAAGAGGCTGCTTTGATCATCTCATCCTGCTCTCTCTCACACAGTGTTGGCTCTAAAGAGAAAATACTAGGAGAATGGGAACTCAAGCCACTTGCTCTACAGCTGTTTGGGCCAGCACCTGCCCTAATCTTAATGGCCATCTGTGAGTTCATTTTGCTAGAATCTCCAAAGTGACCCATTATATCATATAAAACAAAGAACAGAGATATCCTGAATTTTCCTGGTTAGCATGTTTCCCTCTCCTGTTGTATCAAAGGAGTATGTTAAGCTTTCTAAAAGTACTAACTCTGACCTGATATCTAAAATAACAGATGGAGCCGGGCACCGGTGGCTCACGTCTGTAATCCTAGCACTCTGGGAGGCTGAGGCGGGCCGATCGCTCAAGGTCAGGAGTTCAAAACCAGCCTGAGCAAGAGCAAGACCCAGTCTCTACTATAAAATGGAAAGAAATTAATTGGCCAACTAATATATATAGAAAAAATTAGCTGGGCATGGTGGCGCATGCCTGTAGTTCCAGTTACTCGGGAGGCTGAGGCAGAAGGATCACTTTAGTCCCAGCTACTCGGGAGGTGGAGGCAGAAGGATTGCTTGAGCCCAGGAGTTTGAGGTTGCTGTGAGCAAGGCTGATGCCACGGCATTCTAGCCTGGGCAACAGAGTGAGACTCTGTCTCAAAATAAATAATAAATAAATAAATAAATAAATAAATAAATAAATAAATAAAATAACAGATGGAAATTTGGACTCTGGATGAAGCTCTTCCCCTATACCTGCATCTAAGTGGAGAGGCTGAGATTCAAAACAAAATCCTGTTGGAGAATTAATTACCATTTCTGGATATAATTTCTTATTTTTTATTGTTGTATAAGAAATCTCTAAAAAACATCTATTTTCAAACTGGGTAATATTGTTTTAGGCTCATTTATTTAAATAAAAGCAAACAGAAACAACAAACCTAATAGGCCAGTCCTTTATTAATACTGTCCACATTTTTCTCTGGAGTGGTGTTTGTGAGGCCATTTGCATGAGTTTTACTGTATTATCTAGTGAACAAAACCAAGACTGGTGATGCTGAGAAAGCATGAGGGGAAAAAAAAAGATATCACAGTGATGGCACATTTCCGCAGACTTCTATCCAAAAGTAAATTTGTGACCCACTGTTCTGTAAAGCACAGGGTAGATTCTTATACACAAAAACTGCCCTCAGAAGAGCCTGGGAGACCCCGGTCTGTGTAAAGGAATTTATGTTGGGCTTTCTTCACGTTGGCACACAGGTATGCGGGTGTGGCTTAGCCAACATTCCTTTCTGACTCATTACCCACATTTCCCCTCCCCTTTTCTTAGTGCCTGAGGCACTTTTTTTCTGGCTCTCCCTGGGCTAGGGCGGAGATTGCTGGCACTCAACAAAGAGAAGCTGTGCCCCTTTGCACTTTCCTTTTGTGGCTAGTCCTTAAGACTTGTTGCCAACCCCTATTAAAGTGGCATGGCACAGCTGCTACTGAGCTGAGAGCTCTCATCTGTCATGGGCTACTGTAGTACATGTAGACTCTTCTGTCAGTCCATCAGTCAACATGTATTTCTCAATGAGACAGTGAGATAGTAAAGGGAACCAGAATATGCCACCTCAAAATATGCCACTTTGGCATAAGAATTGTTTTGATTTTAAGGTAATTAGCTCTCTGCCCTCCCCCTTTCAGTCTAAAAGCAGGACATTAATTTCTCTTTGAAAATGTAATATCACAGTGTTAAAGGTCTGAAAAAGGGCAAAATGTATTACAAGTTGTCTCTTTAAAAACCACCACCATTTTTGGGAATTAAAACCTACATTCCTGTCCAAGGTCAGTAATGAAAGGTGCAGAAAAATGTTCTTTGTTCTTCATTTTTATTTTATTTTATTTATTTTAAACCACAGGAAATGGCTCGACAAAATTGACTGGAGGTCACGAGATCATCTGGAGATAAGGTAGACCAAAACCACCAACTACAGTTAAACAACAATAGCCCAAGGCCAAGACATGTGACACCGGTCCCAGAGACCTGAGCCCAACCTTTAAAACCCCCCAGTTTAAAAAGCTCTGTATTTCTGCTTAAAGGCAGGATGGTGGTTTTTCTGAGATGCTAATCTGCTGCCCTCCTCATTTTCTGGCAAATTAATAAACTTCTCTTTCCTTATCCTCAAACAACTTGTCCTTGTTCTTTGTTCTCACTGATTCTGCCTTGGGGACAAGTACTGAACTTTGGGTAACATTAACATATATTTCAATTTGTAACAGTGTCTTCCTCTCCTGTATCAGCAAGAGTACTGCTCTGGGGACAACTCTTAGCACCAGAGTCTCTTATCCACATAACATACCTTATTAAACAACCCTTACTTATCATACATTTCCTAGTCACCTTCTCATACTTTATCCCCTCCCCAGAATCCTCAGATCACTTTTCCTTTGTCTAGCCTAGGATGGTATATAAGCCTCAAATTCTAACTGTCTCCTTGAGTCACATTTCTTCGTGAATGTCTGTGACTACACATGTAATTAAATGGTTTTTTTCTCTTGTTAATCTGCCTTTTATCAGTTTGATTTGTGAGCCCCAACAACTGAAGTGGGCTGCTAGCATGGCCTAGAGCTACAGAAGCCATGGCAAATGAGGCCAACTTCCCACATCTGAGTAGGGGACTCAGGAATCTGGGAGAATCAATAGTAGGAATGGGAGCCAAGGATAAGGAAGAGCTTCAGGAAGGGTTTGAGAAAGAGGGACCATAAGCTTAGCATCTTAGATCCTGAAAAGAGGTTGAGGGAAAGGAAAAGATGGAGAAAGGTGTGTTGTGACATGAACCTACCCCTGTGCCTTGAATTCTTGGGAGTTTCTCATTGACTTCTGTGTCTTGTTGTTTCATATCTCTGCAAAGGGAAGATGAAATCTGTTGCCATATAGGTAATGGGGTTCGGGATATGCTACCTCAAATATGGCACCTTGGAATATTGAAGAAAATGGCAGAAACAGGAAGATTACTCTCACCTTTCCCCACCTTTCTCTCCTGAAGCAGATTGTAAAACCTAGGGAGGACTCTCTTACTTTCCCCTGTAGTAGGTTATAAGACCCTCATGTGAAAGCTGCCCTTTCTAGATACATTGAAAAGAAAGGAGCATCCTTATCTCTGAAGACAGGGGGACACAGAGAAGAATTCAAACAAAGAGGACTTGCTAAGTTCCCCCCAGTTTATTACCATTAGATCATACTCTTTGTCCTATCATATTTCTCCCTGACTGTTCATTCTTCCTCAAACTTAGCATGAAAACACACTAAGTTTATCTGTTTCTTTGGATCTTCATTTCCTTAGGAAGGCTCTCATGGCAAGTAACACTTACATTAAATAATCTTGTATGCTTTTCTCTTGTTACTCTGTCTTTTGTTATAGGGGCCTCAGCCATGAACCTAGCATAGGTAGAGAAAAAGATATTTTTCCTCTCCTATGTGAGTCCAGATGCAATCACTACCATTAGTAGTGTTTTGTTTGACTTTGACTGCTCAGGAAAAGTAATTGGATTTACTCTACCTTCCCCCGCCCCATTTTTATTAAACATATGATTTAGCATTGTGCTGGAAAAGCAGTGATTTGACCTCTTCATAGAGGCCCCTCTAACATGTTGCTTATTCTGAGATAAGTAAGAGATAGCAAGTAAGACCCTCATGGCCATGTATCCAAAGTGTGCTGCCTCAAGGGCCACTGTTCTGTACCAATGCTGTCTTACTGAGTCCCAGCAGTCCAGGAAAATTCTCTGGATTCGGACATTCCCATTGTGGGGGAGAAAAGAAACTTCCCCTTTGCCCCAGAAGGTTTATTGAAAGATCAACTCAAGATAAGGCAGATTAATGAGAGAAAGGGATTATAAATTTATTTACCATGCATACGGGGGCGAATCACAGAGTGATTACCTAATATCCCAATGGGGTCCAGAAGTTTATATACTCCCAATTTGGAAGGGAAGGGGAAATAAGGAATACAGATAATTCTGTTTAGGGGCAAGAAATGGTTGCTAGGGAGGATGAAAAGATACTTGGGAGAATGAATGGATGGGGGAAACAGATTGACTTGTAAATGATTCTTTTTGGAAATTAACCTGAGACACAGGTATTATCTTTAAAATGGGTTGGACCAGGTCTGGTTGCATTCTTGATCTTCTTTCTTGCAATATATTGAGATAACAGGGAGGGGAAGGAAAGGCAAATGTTCTTTTTGATGGGTCCATCTGGTTTTATGCAGATAGAGGGAAAGCCCCTTCCAATGCCTGTTGATCTCTAAGGGCCTTTGATTCAAAATACTCTTTATCCCAAGGAGTCATATTTTGGGGTGAAATTCCCTGAACTCCTTCACCATTATTCTGAAAATTCACTTTTCCTTTCTTGCACATGGAACTGCTTAGACAGAGTGCCTATATACCACTGACTATTATATAAAGCCATGGTCAGTGAAAGAAAGTAACTTTTTGAATCCAAGTCTTTGGGCTAATAACGTGGGGCCTGGGACTCCTGAGGTGTCAGAGGAAGGCACTAGGCTAGTCTCCCACTGAAAGCAAGCAAAGAAGAATCATTAGGGCAGCCATATTTATTGTTTGAATTTTATGTTTGCAATTTAATTGTATGGATCACAAAGGGGAAGTTCATGATGGTTTTTTATGGCATGTGATAAACCACAGCATTGCTATCCACAGCTTTTTTTTTCTCTCTTTATGATCAGTGGCTTCTCAGTAAAGTGAATATTTTGAGTTTTGCAATATCTTACATACAGATGGTAAAGAAGAAGAGTTTTTCCACTTTTTAAAGAGATAAGAGTAAAGCAGCAAAACCCTATATATCTGGAATATTTCTGAGGGGTATATGTTTATCAGAGCGTCCAGTGATTCTATGGCAAACTTAGTTTTCTATGATTTTTCTTAAGAACAATTTGTAAAAATATCCAATTATATTACAAACTACCTCCTGTGAATTATCTGTGATGTCTGCACTGATTTCTCCCTGAACATTTATATAGCTAGGATGTTTGAAAACTTGGGCACTATCTCCTCTGACATAAACAATTTTCTGTGAAACCTTTTCATGTTAACTTGAAGTACCTGATTCTCAAACCTGATATAAATCTTGCGTATTCTCTTCTCCCACAATGTCTTCTCTCACAATGTCTTTGACTCAACTGTTTTGCTATTATTCTCAAAGTATGTACTCTATCCTCCTAACCATGGGCCCAAATTCCCACAGAGAGTAGCAGAGGAATGAACATTGCTTTTCCTCCAAGAAGACTTTCCATCAGATCCTATCTCTGTGTTCTATGGATACTAGTTTGTATTGGGAAAGCAGTAGTACTCGCAATTTGGTTCCCTGTATTTAATTTATAACTATTTCTTGTTGGTGCCTTTTTTAACCTCAAAGAAGCAAAATGGCAAGCCCTAAATGCCTGTTTCTCTCCTCTTTTGCCCCAAGTTGGTATCTGTGGCTCATTCACATACATCACACTATAAAAATGCTGCCTTGTATATATATTTGAAAGATAGGGATGAGTTTGTAATGTTTTAGAGGCCTGATGCAGAGCTCTATCTAGTTTTTCTTTTTGTTAGTCAGCCTATTGTATCTGTCACAAAAACAGGTACTGTGTGTGTGTTAATAAATTCAGAACCAGAAACAAATAAAAATTATAAAGATTTAAATAACTGAGGAAAACTCACCAGATTCTGTCTGCTTTTTACCTTCTCATTTCTATACCTCTAGGTCTCTAGTGATCATAAAGGTGATCGAAGCCCTGAGCTCCTGATTTTATCACAAAGCTGTTCTTCTTTGTGGGTGCTTTGGTTCTGGAGATCGAGAATTGTAAGATCAGATAAAGCCATGTGGAGGGCTGAATGCTGGCTGGAATGACGTTTGGGGCACAGTTTATGCTGTTGGAGCATTTCCTGTGTGCCCTTTGAAATCTCTGAGCTTAGCTCTTCAAAGTGAGAGCTAACTTACTCTGCCTTCCCACTGAACACATGTATTTGCTGCTTATCATCATTTTTTGCCACCCCCACCCTTAATTGACTTAGCCAACATTAATTTATCAAAGCAAAAAGCATTGCTCTGAGTCATAAGTTACACTTTTACCTGGCATTATCTGGCTCTGTAGAAATGAAAGTATATAAATAATGGAGGTTTTGTGCACAGGTCTATACACATGCACATATATGCATCTTTTTGCTTCATTCATCATGTTCTCGCCACTTCCATTTTCTTTCCACAACTCTTGCCCACTCGCACTCCTAGTAGTTTATTAGAAAGTTATATTTTCTCATGAGCCAGTGGGTAATTTTTCAAGTTGAACCCTATTAACCACTTCGGTACGGCGCTCACCAGCTGCGAAACCTTGCCCACAGCTGGCACTCACAGTCTGCACGATAGTTTGTGCTGTGCATTGACGACGAATCCGTTTTGCTCTTGTGTGATGAGGAAAGCTTTAAAGCACTGAAAGCTTCTTTTACTTTACAGGCAGCTTTACTTGTAATGTAAATCAGAATAGGTAACATATACACATGTTTTCATTACATTATTTTTAAATGTTCACAATTTTATTTTGATAAATGAAAAATTAGAAAAGTCATATCATGGCTGTCGGCTAAAGTCTCTGTGCACGTTCATCTGTGGCTATCGACTATAGTCGACGCTGGTACCGAAGTGGTTAACATTAGTTACAAATGCTTGTTTTTTCAGAAATTCCTCTGTCCAAAACTTTGTTTTAGATCAGAAAATGTATTTTTCTCTTTAGAGAACCAGTATAGCAAGAGGAAACTGAAGCTAATCTCTGGGAGTGCATTTGTGCTAACTTGCTGTACAATCAAATACAAATATAGGTCAATAAAAGCTGTTCTTTGATCTATTGCTACAAAGGATTCATTGTAAATACAATACTGGATGAGAGGGTTACAACTTTGTAACTGCCCCTTGTAAATAGTGCCTTTTCCACCCTTTAATACATGCCAGAAGTGATGCATTTGGCTTCAGCCTGCCTGGGTTCTACTTTGTTGATTTGTTTATTTATTTATTTTTATTTTTTTAAATGAGAGAGTTTATTTGGGGCTAAGGTTGAGGACTGCAGCCTGAGAGTCAGAGATTCAAGTGGCCCTGAACATATGTTCCGATTAGCAGCA